TAGTTAACTGGGCAAAGCAAGATTTGTGTGTGTGCTTGGAGCCTTCCTGCAAGGGAGGTCCATGAGCTTTTACACTAGGAATTTATAAAATTAGTAGAGACAAGAAGCAATGGCAGAAGCATCTGCCTGCAGCGTGGTCTCCAGCTCACTCCCTGGTACCAAGGATGACATGCTGTCTGATGCGGTGCAGCTTGCAGAGACATCTCACGGCCAACCAACAATACTGCATTTAAACACGTTGCTTAATTTTTTTAACCAATTGCTTTTCTGTGATCTCGCCTTGTCTCTCTAAACAGAGCTCGTAAAGTATCTTGCATATGAAGTGTCACCACCCCACTCCCCCAAAATACAGGCTCGGCCAAGACCTCTTCCCAATAACTCATGAAACTGCCAATCCTTTCTGACTTTGATTTTTTTTTTTTCCTTGGGTTGTCTGGCAGCACACCACTTAACATCTGCAAAAAATTATCCAGGAAAAAAAAAAAAGTTAGTAAGTGTCCGGCACAGTATTTCAAGGCTAATTTACTGTGGGCACAAATATGCCCGGAAAAACAGGAGCTTGGTTAGCAATGCGGCCTTTTATTGCTTTGTGTTCTCCCTGGGGCACTGACCCCTCTGCACCGGCTTAGCCAGCATGGCTTTCAGTTTTGCAGAGCTGCTTGTTGTCCTTTGTGTTGAAATTTCTGCACTGGATTAATTGCTTTCTGGCAGCTTTTAAGCCACCTTTTCTTTTTGCCTTTTTGCTCCGTAGCTGTGTTCAGCAAACCATTTTTTTTCCCCCTTTCTGTAGGTACGGAGTGTGCTGCTGTATCAGTAGCCAGCTGAAGGACAGGGATAAAAGGCCTCCGTGTGACATTTGCTCCTTGTTTTGTGCAGGTCCAGGCAGCAAAAGACTGGGCATAGATGGAGACAGAGAAGCAATCCCGCTAACACTACAGATCGCCTACAGCAAGGTGAGGGCACGGGACTTGCACAAAGACAAATGAGGCAGAAAACCACTTCAGCGGTGGGCAAACGTCCCTGAGCTGGGGGCTGAGAGAGGCAAATGCTGACGGCCTGCTGGAGGAGCCTGAATCTAAGCCCAGATGAGCCAAACTCAAGCTAATTGTCTACTTACTGGCTAATTGGAGGTGGCTTTCCACTCCTGTTCAGCCCAGTAAAATAGGGAATGTGCAGCCAGTTTCCATAGACTGGATGTGTTCTCAGTGTCACTTTACACTGGTGAACTTCGCTTCCAGGGAGCGATCTTCCGCTGGTCATAGCAGTCCTCCTATTTTGGTGGTTCCTTTGCAGATATTTACTGTTAAGCCTGGGGAATTTTTGTAAATCCAAGGTTAAATGAATTTTAGTGCTTACTCAGACTTTGTCTGTGCAGCTCCAGTTGAATCCAGATCTGAGCTAGTCCAGCCAGATGGTTAGGGGTGGGAGGCAGGGTAGCACCAGCCTGGAGTGTGGCATCTCACGGGCTTTGGTTGGTCTCTGCAGACAGCCGTCAGTGGAAGAAGTCACTGGAACGATGTTGAGAAGGTCTGCACATCCGTCAACCTTAGCAAAGCCTGCAAGAAGTATGAAGATCTAGGTGGGTAGAGGTGGTCTTTGTGGGTTTGCGTGGGGAGCAATGGGAGGGACTGGTGGAGCAAGAGGACAGCGTGCATCTTCTAGCTGGAGCAAAGCAGAGATGTGTGAATGCAGGAGAAGACAGATAGAAGGTGCCTGGGGCATACTGTAGTCCTTGGCTGACCTTATCACCACATCAGGGACGAAGGACATTTGATTTCCCATTGTCCTAAAGCTTCCAGCCAGGGTAATAGGATGTCCATTAGGGATGGAGCTGGGACAGTCCAAACAGCAGGATGATCACTGGAGAGTGGTGCTTTCCAGAACAACACTTGTTTAGTAAGGAGAACGAGAGACAGGTAAAACTGTTGTTAAGTGAAGTAGGACCAAGGGAGGGTGCTTGTCCTGCCGTCCACAGCCGCTGTGCCTCGCAGCCAGCTTTCAGCAGGCTCTCGCTAAGCTGCTGCTTCAGCCTGTTCCTTCCTGCAGCTCAGGGATAGCTGGCTGCCACATGGTTTTGCTTCATAGTTTTTTTTTTCTAATCAGGTTTCCGATGAGGTATTAATAAGGCTTTGAGCCTTTTAAAAGCAGCAAGACTTTTAGCCTGTGTGTGTATTTAGAAGCAATACCTGTTCATTCTTGCTTAAGAACTGCTGTTTTGGCAATCAGACACCCAGTTCTGAGTAAACGGAGGGGGTTTTTAGTTCCTCTTTCCTCGTGTGCTTTGTGTCTGGCAGATGTGTGGTTTGCGAGCGGAGCAGTTGGGGCAAACGAGTGATCTACCAAATAGGAGACAGCTCCTACATGTCCCACAGAGCTCAACCTAAACCTCTATCCCTTCTGTCCCAGCTGTTGCTACCCCATCCATGAAGCCATGCAGACAACCCTGGAAAAAACCCAGCAGGAATTAATTTCTCCCCTTCTCTATATATTTTGAGTTGGGTGTTTCTGCGCTAGTTCAGGAGCTTTGCTTGTGCTGCCTGCGCTGTGGGTTTGCTTCAGGGGGTGTCCTCAGTTCCACGCTGGGGAGAAGCTTCTCCTTCATGAATCTCCTTCCTTCCAAGAGAAACCCAGTCCCCTTGATTGTCACCGTTGGTTTTCACATTCAGCAGTTTGACCACAGGATGTCACTGTAATTCCAGACACAAAAAAGCATCTCCAGGTGGACTGCAAGAAAGGCGAAGCTGGGAGAACTAGAATTTCCTCATGATGATGGGGCAATGTTTTTTTTCTTCCTGTTTAGGTCCTAAGATAGTTAAATGTCCTTTTCTGCTATGTTCGGAAAGCAGTTGGAAATTACAGAGGACGTTTACCTCTGTGTCTCTGGTTTCTTTCCGTGTGGGTTAGCATGAGGGAAGTAAAACTAGAACTGTACTGCATTATCCCCAGTGGTGGTGGGGTCCTGCTGAGAGCCACTGGCTCTGGGATGCTTTGAGGGGTGGAGGGACCACTTGGATTCCCACCAGTGGCCCAGAAACCCCAAGTGATAACAGTTTTCTTTCATTACAGCCTCAAAGACAGAGTGTCTCAACTTAACCATGACAGAGGTGGTCAAAAGACAAAACTCCAAATCCAAAAAAAGTTTCAATCAGGTAACTGAAATCATGGTGCTTTTACATTTGGTAACAGGAGGTCAGCCCGACTCAGCTGGGAGGGAAGCAGGGCAGGAGACAGCAGCTCCTTGGGGGATCCGTTTGCTGGTGGCCTGCCTTAGGGATGCCCAGCTCCCCTGCTCCCCTTCCCTGCACAGGGAAACGCTCTGAGCCTGACAGCTCCCTCACTCAGACTCTTTCTATCAGCAGATCAGCGTGTCTCAGATAAAAGTAGACAAGGTCCAGATTATCGGTGTCCAGTCCTCCTTTGCCGTGTGCCTGGACCAGGATGAGCAGAAGATCCTGCAGAGTGTAACCAGGTAGGAACTGCAGTGTGGCTGGCTGCAGTGGGCAGCCCACCTCCTGGGATGGTGCGTCCTGTGTGTTAGGACTTGTCCATGAAGCGTGGGTGGCCATGGTGGGGATGAGGTCCTAAACACCATGGTGGATCTATGCCAGATGCCCAAGCTGGATGACATAGCTCCAAGCTTGTAGTGCAGCTGAGCTTGGGTGGGATGGATCAGATCCCAGCAGTAGTTTACCTTCATGACTGCCCCAGCCTAAAGGGTGGTCCCCAGTCAACTGTTCAACTCTGTAAAGATAGCTCTTTATGCAAGACCAGTCATCAGCCAGAGGAAAGCTATGCAACATGAGATATTTGGAGAGCACTGGGCATATGAGCAGAGCCTTCAACTTCTAAACCTCATTTGGGTTCTCCACCACCTTTGGCATACCCATTGCAGAAGGAACCCATGATCTTCATGGGAGACACTGGCGTAGAGCAAGAATTGTTCATTTGACTGTGCATCCATCAGTCACGTCCCCAGGACACCAAGGTGGCTCCACGGGTGATGGAATTTGAAAACTCACTGTAGACAACGTACTTCCATGAGCACAAAGAGATCAAACCAGTTGATCCATGGGTCTTAAAAATGTGCAAGCATTTTAGTTTCTCCCTCAGAGAGAGCAGAACTCTGCAAGGTTATACTGCCTCCAATGGAAAAAGATTTCAGATCTTATTTCTTAAATAACCCTAAAGAGAAGTGTTTTAGTTAACTTGTTGTGCAACTCAAGGGGCTAGTGGGAGAGTTCAACGCACGAAATGGAAAAGGAGCTACTTCCCTCTCCCCAAAACTTGGGGGATGCAAAAGTTCTTGTTTTTCCTAATGAGTTTCAGAAATTACTCTTTGTGGATGCTTCTGCTCTACGTCCCAGTCTGAGCCAGCTTAAAGACCTGAACTCTCAGCACTCAAACTCCAGTCCTGTTTGTTTGCAGATATTTCTGCTGCACCTGAGGACCATGATTCTCAGCCACACACCTTATAACTTGGTTTCTTTTTGTTCCCCTGCAGGTGTGAGATCTCTGTGTGCTACAAACCCAGGGACAGCGATCTCTTTGCACTGAGAAGGTCGTCTTTGCCTTCCCAGGACTCCTCCGAGTTTCATTCTCTCCTGTGTTTACCCATTGCCACCTTCAGTGGAGCACTGCCGTAGAAGAACCCTGTGTCCTCTCAGGCCAGGCTCGCATTTAACACCAACATAGCCTCAGGAAAAGGAGGCTGACTGTCCTCCTTTGGGCTGGAGACCGATCCATTCTCATCCAAGACATCCTGTGGCCCGAAGCGTTAGCATGGTGGCTGAGCTGCTCCTGGTCTGGGCTTAGTCCATCCTTGGGAAATGGGAACATCGGTGATGTGCTCTGGTATCTCTCAGGGTTCCTCAGCAATGGGAGGAAAGTGGTTTCCCTGAGATCTCCACCTGGTTCAGCAGACTGACGACACCTGGATTGAGAGAGCAAGGCAAGGACAGTGATCTTCCTGCCAGCAAATGGTGCTCTGGCTGTATTTGACAGTTGCTGCAAGGACAGTGTGATCTGGCAGGAGCTCACGGGGGGACATTTTGGAAAATGAATGTCCTTGGCTGAGTGGTGGTAGGTGGCCTTCAATGCATGTGGAGTTGCAAACCACCCAAAGCATTTCACCCGTAACAGGTCGAGGATGCTCAGCATAGTTCTTTTGGGCTGGGGACAGGCTTTCTTAACGTTTCCTTTAAATTACGAAGGTTGGGTGTCTTGCAGAGAAACAGTGTAGAGCAGACTGACCCAGCTGAGGCCCAGAAAGACCCCAGCATGAGTTGTAGACTGCTGCTTGCATTCCAGTGAACTGAGTGCAATAGATCATACCAGGGCATGGACAGCTTGTCATGTATACATGCATTTACTGTAAATGCAGGACCTGCAGGAGATGAACTTCCGATTTCTGCAGAATTTCAGAGTTCACCCAGGAGATGTACTCCCTGTTCAGCCCATGTTCTTGCATCCTGCTCCCCAGCACTGCATACTAGAGACATCCCAGAGGCTGAATCCTCAATAGTTGCTTGAAATATGGCAGGAACAATGCTTACATTCATAGGAGGGAGGGAAGTACTAGGAAAACCACTAGGATTGCCTAAAGCTTACCTGAGGAGGCAGCTTTGCTACAGAAGGACCCAGCACCAAAAACACTAGTGACACTTGCTAGCGACGATGGGATTTGAGACTCCCTCTCCCCTGCAAAGAGGCTTTCCATCCTCTTCATTCTCTCTGCAAGGCTGTAGGTACAGAAAGGTGCAATAGTTGGGGGTATTTAGAGGTATTCTGACCCCAGGAGCAAAAAATGAGACTGGAAAAGCCTTGCCTTTCCAGCCTTTCATAGCCCTCAAGCTGTTTCTCGGTAGTTTTTGGTGATTGCACTAATGATAACAAGGCAGAAGAGCATGCTGTCTGCTGCAGGCTAAAAGGATCCTAATGCCAAGGACATGTGCTCCCTGGAAAACATCTGGAAGGGACCCCCAATACTTCTGGGGGGCTGCAGGGCTCAGCCACGGTGTGTGATCAGATCAGTGTGGGTCTCGATCCTCCAGAACATGGGACCTGGTCAGCTCTTAGCATTAGTTAGAACAAGGTTGGGCTCTGTCCCCAAGGGCTGGTGGCACAGCAGCAGTGCCGTTTGAGGTTAAATTTGCCAGGAAAAGGGCCAGAGCCCATGGGGGCTTCAGTTGTCTCTGAGGAGCGTGGGTCAGGCTTGTCTGCTGGATTCCTCCACATCCCTCCTGGAAGTGTTTGGGAGATCCCTCCTGTGCCAGTGACTCTGATCCTGGCCCCACTGGCTGCTGGACCTGCTTTCTGTCCCCACTGCCTGTGTTGTTTGGGGACAGCTTGGTCTGGGCCCAACGGTGAACATCTTGGGTTGAGAAGGTGCCAGCTGGCTCTTTGGTGTCCTCAGCAGCTCTCGATGCAGCTTCTGCCAATGGCCAGAGATGAGCAAAAATGAGAGGTGAACATGCTCCCGAGGCTTCTGCACTTCATCCTTCTACTTGAATAAACCATCCCAAGGCCGGTGTTGCCTTGTGGACTCCAAGAAAAGACCCTGATGTGGGGCAAAGCATCACTTGAACATACACAGGCACTCTGGTTCCACCATGATGCAAAGCTGGCTTGGACTCCGGGCAAGGACCCACCTTTCCTGGCCACACACCGACCCTGGGAGCACCCACCTTTTCTTACGTGCATGGAGCAGTGGCTGTCCCTTGCTCACAGCACGGGCTCGGCAGGGACACCAAGACACTGCCAGGCCATGGTGGGCTGTCCCCTCTCTCACAGGGTGCCTGCGGGACGATGTGGGAACGCGTGCTGAGGTCGCTGCTGGGCACTTCTGCACGTCAGTATTTGAAGTCCAGTAGGCTCCAGGGATCAGAAATAGATTTTAATAGCTCTTTCCATGCACTTGGAAAAAGTTTTCCCACTGACTTTTCATATCCCAAACAGGTTTGTGTGCATCTTCTCATATGGGGCTGAAATTTGACAGCTGTGTTTTTTGTTCAACACTTTAAAATAGCACCTTATCCTGTCAAAACATTGCTATTTGTGGTCTTGATATCCGTGGCTAAATATATCCCTGCCGCTGTTAAGGATATAAACCTCTTCGGTTTCAGCTGGCCCTACAGAAATACTAGAGAAGAGAATTTCCATCTCGGAGAGGAAAACAAGCACAAACTCTAGGGACTCATAATCCTGGCTAAGGTTTTGACCTCTGATGCTTTCTGGAAATGAAATAAGTCCGAGGTTCTTTCAGGTCATCCTTGTACATATGTTCAGTGTCAGCAAATCTGTGTAATATCTCTGCTGATCTGTAAAATACTTTTCAAAGAATTTTTATGGTAATTTTAAAATATTAAATTTGATTTATTTCAAGTACAAGTACAGCATTTGAGTCGAGTAATTCCTGAGCCGGCGGGAGGCACGGGAGGAGGCTCCGTATCTCCACGAGGAGAGCAGGGAGCACCCGGGGCCTCTGTAGAGTAGCCGACCTGAGAGCAAGAAAAGGCTCATAAAGTCATTATGTTCATGGGCTTGATCCCAGGGGGCATGACATGGAGACCAGCAGCGGTTAATTGAGCTGCTTCTGTTCGGTAAGTAAAAAAAGCAGGTTTTGATGCTGTAAATCCAAAATTGGTTTAATACTGGATTAAGGAGAAAAGAAACTAGCAGAGCTCATGTGTGCAAGGTGAGATCGGTGCATACCCTTCCCTTCTAGGAGGCTCCTTGACCTTTGCTGTGTTGCTTTGCAGAGAAATATGAGTTACGCCGCGAGCTGAGCACCTGGCAGCTCCTGGGGCCGTGGGCAAGGTCCAGCCCTGGGACGAAGGGTGGCTGCTCGGGGTCGGCAGGCTTTTGCTCAGCAGCTGGGTATTGGGGTATTTCTGACTTGGAAACCTCTTCTGCATCTTTGGGGATGTCGACTTTGCAGATGGAGCTGTTGCTACTGGAAGTACTCTAAAATATGAAATGGCACTTGCAAATGTTTAACTGTCTCAAGCATCACCCTTCTTTTCCTTCGAGGAAAGAGGCTGAGTTGGTAGGTGTGAGGGCCAATGTGTTGTAATCAAATAAACAACGTGGGAAAAGTCATTTCAGCTCAGACAAGCCAAAAACCAGATGAGAATAACTTTTGTTAATCAGCACTTTGTTATGTATTAGCTATCAATTTTTTTCACTGTGACTAGAGAATAATAAAAGGTATTTTTTAAATAAAAAGAAAAGGGCCTTTTGAAAAGGCAAATAAAATGCAAAAGGGAAATGCTTTATTTTCTGAGCTGGAATGATAATCTGCTTTTGTTTGTTCTCAACAACAAAAAACCCCAAACCCTAAACCACAAATCCCCCTTCCCTGTTCTTTTCTTTTTAAAAAGAAAAGTGGAAAGAGGAACACACATGCTTAAATCCAAGCAGAAAGAAGGTACTTTGTTCTAAAAATGTGCATGACGAAAAGTTTAGGATCAGGGCTCAAGTCTGAGCCTTGAAGTGCTGCATAGCTGATGGTTTTGTTCTTGTAAATACAAAAGATTTAGCGAACAGCTGCTGATAAAATAAGCAAGGCCGGGTTAAGGCTAGACTATTTAAGAAAACTAGTTTTGCCTCTTGTAGATAGGGTCAAATCAACTCGAGGGAGCTTTTTGCAGCTCTCACAGCATCAAAGCTGAGCTGGTCCGTGGCCTGTCTGCGTCTGTGAGGGATGGGAAGACAGTGAACAAGGTGTGTTCGGCGTTTCAGGCTGGGAACACAACTTACGTTGGCTTCCTGAATGCGATAGGTTATACCAAAAAAAGTGCCTTGGGTTTTGGTATGTGTTAATTTATCAAGGTGCAGAGGCAGTTTGAGGTGGTCCTCTGCTCTGTCAGGGGTTGTCATCCCACAGCCACCTCAGCCAAAGCTGCTGAGCTTGGCATAGCTGGAGTGGGACGCGCTCCACCACCGGTGAGGTGGGATGTGGCCATGTGGTGTGGGAATGCACTATGGGGTGACTTCTCACCACCCACCACTGGTGGTGACCCTCCATCCTCTGGTCTTCTCCAATGGCACTTTGTGCATAGGTGTTCCTCATCTTTACTGGTGTGATCCCCACAGCTTCGCTTCGCCAGCACAACAAGGAGCATCCCAGTGTGGATGCTTGCATCAGGTGCCAGTGTGCCACAGGAGTTGGTTGAGAGCCAAATCTGCCCCCCCAGAGCTGCCGTGGCTCGGGGCTGGCAGGGAGCAAAGAGCTTAATGCACGCAGGCAACATCAGTCAGGTTGCTCAGGGTCCAGCCAAGGTCTGAATAGCTTCAGGGATGGCGATGTTCGAGTGCATGAGGTAGAGAACAACATAAGCCAATAATCATCCAGAGAAGGGGTCCTTAAGTGGCCAATCCTGAACTGGTGGCTAATTAGGAATACAAAATGAATTAGCATCAATAGGCAGGAATGAGATTGCCTGTGCTGGATCCACTATTAAAGTCGTTAAAATACTCCTCTGAAAGGTAGAAAAAGCAGGTGCCATCCTCTTCTGGCAGGTGGGGCAATAGAACCCACCTTACATGGTCTAAGTAGGTTGTCATCAGGTTGTCTGAATGGAGACATTGCTGTGAGGCATGGCGAATTCTCCCAAACAATGACAGTTGTATCTGGAAGCATTTT